CTTCTCCGCTCTTAATTACCCCTAATTAGCTTTAATTCGTTGATTAGAAGTGTTAATTAGCGCTAATTGGGTCATTAATAGCAGTTAATAATCGCCCTGATCGATCGCGGATCGATTCTGATCGATAAGTTATTGGTGATCAATAACTCCCCCCGCACCCCCCCCGGCCATTTTCTGCTCTTAATTACCCCTCATTAGCCTTCATTTGTTCATTAACAACCTTCATTAGCGCTAATTAGATCGTTAATAACCGTTAATAATCACCCTCATCACCACGGGTTTGGATCATTATTGATCCCTATTGATCTCTGCCATTGATTATTGATCAGTACCGGCCCATATCGATGGTTATTGATCAGTTATCGATCGATTATCGATCAGTGATCAATAACACTCACGTGACCACGGCCTTGGAGTTTGGATCATTATTGATCTCTATCGATCTCTGCCATTGATTATTGATCACTATCGACCCGTATCGATCCCTATCGATGGTTATCGATCAGTATCGATCGTTTATCTATCGATTATCGATCAATAATCGATCAGACTCATGTGACCACGGTGTTGGAGTTTGGATCATTATCGATCTCTATTGATTTACACTGATCTCTACCATTGATTATTGATCACTATCGACCCGTATTGACCCATATCGATGGTTATCGATCAGTATCGATCAGTATCGATCGGTTATCGATCAGTGATCGATCAGTGATCGATCAGACTCACGTGACCACGGCGTTGTGGGTTTGGATCATTATCGATCTCTATCGATCTCTATCGATCTCTACCATTGATTATTGATCACTATCGACCCGTATGGACCCATATCGACGGATATCGATCGGTATCGATCAGTATCGATCGGTTATCGATCGGTGATCGATCAGACTCACGTGACCACGGCGTTGGGGTTTGGATCATTATCGATCTCTATCGATTTACACTGATCTCTACCATTGATTATTGATCACTGCTGACCCGTATGGACCCATATCGATGGTTATCGATCAGTATCGATCGGTTATCGATCAGTTATCGATCGGTGATCGATCAGACTCACGTGACCACGGCATTGGGGTTTGGATTATTGATCTCTATCGATCTATACTGATCTGTATCAATAACTATTGATCACTGCTGACCCATATGGACCCATATCGATGGTTATCGATCAGTATCGATCGGTTATCGATCAGTGATCGATCAGACTCACGTGACCACGGCGTTGGGGTTTGGATCATTATCGATCTCTATCGATCTCTACTGATCTCTACCATTGATTATTGATCACTACTGACCCGTATGGACCCATATGGATGGTTATCGATCAGTATCGATCAGTTATCGATCGATTATCGATCAGACTCATTTCACCACG